ACAGCCAAATTACATACAACCCTTTAATAAAATCTTTGTCGCATTGTATTAAAGGGGGGCGGGTCCGGGGGGATAAGTGGGAGGGTTGTTGAACATATCTGGCTCGTTGTTTCCCTGCCCAGCCAGCATTTAAGTTGGTGGGCACATTGTTGGGTAGACAGGTTGTCTACAAAGTATCCAACTATGGCAATGTTTAATGAAAGTAAAGTAAAAAGTCAAGTGACAAGTTTTTCGATTGGGGTCGTAGCCAAGTCTGCAGGCCTGGGGCCCCCTCCACCTCTTGTAACAGGAGGGGAGGCTTAGTACTGGAGTACTTGGGTGTTAAAGTACTGATGACCAGTAGCAATCACCGGAAGCAGGGTATACAGATGTGCTCGCAACTCTCCCGGGCCCAAATGTCTAGTACATAAATTTGGGATCCCAGGCACCTGTGACCAACACAGGGCCACTGGTTTTGCCCGGTACTCTTTAGTCGGTATGCCAGCTGTCCTTCCTGGACCCTAATTCTTATTGTACATTTATGCAATGCGGCCATTTAACGCCAACTCTCCCTCTTTGTCCATCACAGTTATGAACTACAAAAAATTGTACATGCTTTTCCAAGTCTTAAATAAATTTAAAGAAAACCATACAGTTGTTGTCTATTGCAAAGTTAACATCAAGGAAAGGGCATAGTCCCCCTATGAGCACAAAGAATCAAGTAGCAATGCATGTCAGGACCCGCAGGGCAGTGATCGCCTGACTGTTCAATTAATGAATACTAATTACAAAGTATAGAAATAAACGAACAAAAAAAATATCGATATATCTGTAATCTGAAAGACTCTTAGTTTTGTAACAATTATTTCACCAACACTAAGATGTTACCATGGGACAGTAACATTTTTTTTAGTCTTAAGGCATGGGACGGATGTTTTTTTTCAAATAAAAGGCCATGGGACACATACTTTTTTAAAATGAGAATTTTGTTTTGTACTGGTCCCATCATTGTGATAAATTTTGCCTGGTCCCTAACTTAGTTACAGTCTGATACCCGCCTTTTTGTTCTAAAGTGTCATCTGTTTGTTAACCTTTGCTTGTAATGCTTACTGATCTTGTTTTATATGTACTGTGCCGTTACACGGCTTATATGAATATATATTTGTAAACTGTTATGTGTTTTTTCGGTTTTTGTCCATATGAAATGGTTTAGTCTACCGTTTATATCCGAATACTACTCGTGTTACTATTTAGTTTTTCTCGTGGCTCTTCTGCCGCACTGCCTTTTTTCTATCATGTTTAAAGATTTGAGAACCACAACAGACATTTATCGTTTTATCATCTTGACGTCATCTGAATAAAATCTGAAATGATGATTTAGGCGTCATATGTACGGCCTACTTTGTGCCAGCTTTATGCTTACCTTTTCTTGTGATGTTTTGTTTGACGTGTGTTATAGGTACTTTTTTCTCCTCTTTTTTCGGGGATCAGACATTATCATAATTTACGTAACTTACAATCAACGCTTGTGGGTCTAATCCCCATCTTGCGTTAAATTGTTTACAATTATACCGTCATTTAAAGATCTCTATGAAATGTATTATTTGATTTATACAACCAAGAAAAAAGCTGCAGTGAGCTTGCCTAGCATTTGAAGACATACCCGTAAATATATTAAGGTCAGCATGCAAGATAATTAAGGAGATAAAACCAACTCAAATATCTCTCATTTTGATAAATTGGTTATTTTCTTGCATATTGGCATAATAATCTTGCATGTTGACATAAATAATTTGCATGTCTACACAATTATCTTGCATGTTGACATATGTGAATATATAAACCAGTCACATATGAAAATAATTCTGATCACAGGAGTCTGAAGTTTAAATCGTACCCCCCCCCACACCAATACTCCACCCTCGACTTAAAAAAACACCAGGATTACTTTAACGTAATTTTTTTTGGTTGGGGGATGAACAAATAGGTCTTGGTTTGACCAAGACTTTTGTGACTAATTTGTTTGTGCTATTTATTCAAGTTAAAAAAATCTGACTGCTTGACAACATGGGCCGTGCATGGCACTTTTTACACCTTGACAGCTCATCCTCGATTCTAAACCACAAAATCGAAAGTTACGATAAAAACCTCAGACTCCTGTGTTCTGATGCATTTTGCTTGTATGATGTCAGATAACGACGCAAGTACATTAACATATACTCAAATATTTGCACCTATCTTCATACGTATTGAAGATAGGTACAATTGAATTAAAGATATGTACAGTTGAATTCATGATAGGTTCAATTGATTTGAAGATAGGCGTAAATAATTATACCTATCTCTAAATAATTATACCTAGGTACATATGAATTAAACCTATCTTTAAGAGAGTTACATCTATCTTTAATTCAATTGAAGATAGGTTCAATTGAATTATACCTATCTATAATTCATTTGAAAATAGGTATAATTAATTTTATGATGGGTACAATTGATTTGAAGATAGGTTCAACTAGTACATATCTAAAAATAGATAGGTACAATTTAATTATACCAAGGTGCAATTCGTTTTGTGTTATAAAAAAAATGAACGCTGCCTTGGAGATAATATTGAACATGAAGGAAAACGAACAGAGCCTACAGAGTGGCGATAACGAGGATAAAGAAGAAATACAGTTAAATTCAAAATGTACAAAAAGCATCATATACCAGTACTTATTAAAATACACATGTATATAGGTAAGGTTGGTATATCTTGTATGGCAGCCAGATGAAGATTCCGATAAACTTTTGCACCAGCTCTGGCGTACCGGAAATGACGTATGATCAAGGGAGTAATTATCAGACAAATATCTTATTAATTAAAGATAGATTAAATTCAATTGTACCTATCTTTAAATCTGTATACCTACATGTATCTTCAATTCATTGCATTTGTATTAAAGATATGTATAATTGAATTGTACCTTTCTCTAATTCATTTGAAGATAGGTACAATTTATTTGAAGATAGGTACAATTGAATTGAAGATAGGTAAAATTGAATTGAAGATAGGTACAAATATTTGAATATATGTTAATATGGTGTTCCATACTTAAGTAAAATTAAACATAATAAAAAAATCATTTTAAAAATGTTTTGCAAAGAAAAGAGTGTACGATCAAATGTCTGAACATGTTTTGCTATATTTCATGTAAAAGGAACGACACCTACTAAACAAATGATGGAATTCTGAACCAGGGAACTTTGGAGATACTTAGATTTTGCTATAGGCACAGAGGAAGATGTTAAATTGCGAAGAGAAATAAGCAGAGTCTATGTAGAGGTGAAGAATGTTAGTCAGATAAGTGATGAATTTATTTCTGGAAGTTCCGCTGAAGGATTTAAATTTCAATGGAGTGATCTTGATATAATGTGGTCCTCCACAAAAGGAACTGTTGTCTTGGAATTAGAAGGGCTGACATACTCTAGATATATTACATTCATTGCAAGTGACATTGGTTGCAAACCAAGCTTCTGTAAACTTGCGCATTATCCAAAAAAGTGTGACAAAGTGTCTGATGATGATTGTTTTTCCAGGATTAGGTTTTTGGAAATGTGTCATAAATACAGCTTCAATAAATGCACCGATATCACAAGTCACGGACCATGTATTACATCATACATACAAAAGGAATACGATGTTTGTTATTGCTTTCCTATACACCCAATTTCTTCAAATAAGATTTTGAGGAATTTTTCAACAAAATTTTGGAATAATTTAAAGTCACGTCTGTTAGAGAAACGTGTTACCTTGATGCATGTTGTTCCAAAAGGTCCCACAAAAGGCGATGTGAAAGGTATCCAGTGGCTAAAATCATTCTGCCTTCATCACAGCCTTCATCTTAGAACGGAATTTTCTGGCATCTGGAGGACTATACTTAGCGACACTGTGGTATTGCCAGGGAAAATATAACTCTGCAATAGAAGTGCTCTGCCATGTTCTCACCAAATTAACAGATAGCCCAACTTTGGGTTTTATTTATAATAGTTTATTATTGTCAGATATTGGCAAACCTGGATGTAATTTTACGCATCTAATAGAAAAATACTGCTCATGGTTTATGTCCTTACCTAGACATAGCTGTTTTTATCCCGAAGATCTTAAGAGTGATGTCCGTGCTTGTCCGATGACTGACTTCGTAATGTATGACAAATCATACGCTTTATTTTTGATGTTTCTTTGTTATCTGGAGATGGGACAAAGCAGGAATTGTGAAAATACACTTTGCAAACTGCTTGACTCTTACAAAGAAAGTCGTTTTGGTTTATTGTATTCTGAAGCTCTTGAAAATTTTGAAAAACTTGCACTGATAGCAGAAAGATAATTAAAAAAAAACTCAACGGAACACAACGAAACCAATGTGAAACAAAAAAAGAAATGATAAAAAGAAATCCTGTGATTGTTACATTTGTTGCTTTTCTGTAGACTCAACGAATGATCATCAAACCTATATTTAAGCGAAGGGTGTAATTCGTCAACAATACTAACCTAGGGAATTCCTGATTTTGTATTAAAAAAAAAACATTTTGCTGGTGGAAAAAAATTGTAATACATGTAATTATAAATAAAATGTATTGTGTATCACTTTAAATGCAAATATCATAATGTTTGTTACACTTTAAACCATTTTGAAAACAGTTTAGAATTCACAAGGATAATAATTATAGACATTTCTGTACAACCAGCATTGCCAAGAAATTATATAAAAAAACCTCATAATATGAATGGAACGTTTTGCCACACCTTAGTAAAGATAGGCTATCAACTTAATGTATTTGATAAAATACTTTAAGTTTGTTAATTTTAATTAGTTAAGAAAAACAGGAATAAATGTAAGAAAATTAAATGTAATAATAGTCTATAATTTAAGAAATAAAAAACAATGCTAAAAATTCTCTTGGAAATGAACTTATTTGGTCATATATTCAAATCCTGTAAATCCCGAAGGACTTCTCAGTTGATTTGATCACGTACCATTTAAGTTCATTTACCAGTAAAGTCTTTCTTTTTTTAACAGTTTCGTTTTATCACTCATTTCTACATTTGAGACGAATAAATGCCAATTTAATTAAGAAATAAGGTATCATTTTTAAACATCTATCGGGATATAAATACGGGTTGGTCACGAGATTAAATTCCATAAAGCCCGAAGGGCTTTATGATGAATTTAATCTCGTACCAATCCGTATCCGTATTTATAGCCCGATAGATGTTTTAAAATGATACCTTATTACTTATATTTACATTTGTGACTTATTCATACTTTATATTTACCTGATTGTGACTTTAAGCGTGTGAAATGCGTTATTTTTCAAACTCAACGGCAAGTATGTAATCCACTGAACGCGCGTCGACCCTTTATGACGTCACTGAGAAATTACGTCAAACGATTATCCATACGCACATCTATGACCTCTTGACCCCGTACCTGTATTTATACAGTTATAGATACACATTCCTTTTGGTAGTGTTATATAAAGGAAAACATTTGCAAATGTAAATATTTGCATTTATTACACAAATTGGCCGCCGTATTGTTATGTTGTGATGCGCAATTACCAAGAAGTTCATTAGTCTTGAAAGTTGTCCCGCTCAAAAATTTCAGTATTTACTACAATGTCGTTCAGCAGTCCAGTTCATATTTTCCTTGTTTATAAAGTAAGATCAATGATCCCTACTGAGAATAATCTTCCTATTTTATGGGTTCTGAATATTTGAAGTCAAATTTTTAGTTAACATAATTTCAAAGAAATTTAGGTTTTAAAAAGGTTGGTGCAATTTTAGCTATTTATAAATGTAGTATTAAAAACATTCTTCACACCAAAGGAAAATCTGTTGACCATTTTTTGAATGAAAAATACCTAATACATGTATGTGTCAGTTATTTTATTTCGTTTAGCGTTTTTAACTCAATATTTCCGAAACCTTACAGAAAAAATATATGTAAACAAGATCTGAGTGATTCGGTCGCGCTATGACCTATGACCCCCCAAATACTATAGTAAGTTCATAAAGAAATTTTTACATTTGCAAATATCTCTTTGATCAATTAAAGAGAAATTTTGTTTATATCTGCATCAAAATTATTTGGGGGTAAGAGGTCATAGCGTGACCGAATAACAAAGCGAGATATTCTGTATACATATTTCTGTAACGTGCAAATTGTTTTGAAATATTTTTAAAGTTTATAACGATGAAAAAGATAAAATGATTAAAATATTGATATTTTTTAATTAAAAAAGATGTACAATTAATCTTCTCTTGCTGTGCATAATAATGTTTTAAATACTATGATTAGCCTAAAACGGCACATACTTTTTTAACCCGAAATTCTTTTGGAGTTATGTAAACTAAAACAGGCGATACCACCGCTTTTGACTTCAAATATATTAAGAACTCATGAAACAGTAAGATTATTCTCAGCAACAATCATTTTTCTTTCACTATTAACAGAGATTTCCTGAAATGGACTGCTAAACATTCAATGTAAACATTCAAATGTTGGAGCGATGTTAACTTTCAAGACCAAACAATACCCTAGGTTCCTGTAAACCAAGTATTATTCGTGTCATCTTTTATTTGCGATTTGTCAGTTTAAAACCAATCCGCGACAATTAATTTCCCCGACCGAGGAAACATTCTCTACAAATCCTTAGCAAAATGAATGGTTCGCGGCGATTAATATTCGCGAGTTGAAAGAGGTCGAGGAGCTCGCGGATATTTCTCGCACGCGAATAAAAATTGGTTTACAGTATTACTCGTCACAACATAACAAGGCGGCCCATCCATGTCATAAATGCAGTATTACTGGGTATCTAATGTCTCAAAAGTAAATATAAGTAAAAAAAAACAAAAATGTTAAAAAGTTCACTGGGAAATAAAGAACAAGGTTCACTTTTGCCTTATTTGGCCCTGTGAACTTCTGAAAAACTGAAATAGCATAGTTTTAGTTAACAATGCATTAGATATCACTGAGATCTTTGGTGATTGCATATCTAATAAAAATGACGTCATTTTCTTGCTAGTCAATGCATTATGACGTCACAAAATGCGTCAATTTCCTCATATTCTGAAAAAGTCTACAAAAACGGCCAATTTTTAAAGCTATATTTTGATATTTAACATAGAGCGCAACCTCTGATCTAAAATATGCAACTAGTAAATGATAGAACTTTTTCTGAGGATTAATGGACATGTTTTATTTTTTAGATTAGAGAGTGCGCTCATATTATTTTTCTTCACTGAAAGTACTCAATTGTACCTGTTTACACAAAAATTCAAGAACATTGCAATTTCAAAAAGCCAGTTCTCCTAGACCTGGACTTTTAGAAGTTTTTTTAATAGGATATGAAAGCACCAAGTCTCTATTTTAAATTAATACTTCAAATAGAAAATCAAGTGTTGATCAATAAATTGGTATATCTACAGGGCCATTTCATGCATAAAGTAAACCGACTTCTTTCAGTAATGCTTGATCAAATCTACTGAGAAGCCCTTCGGGCTTCATTAGATTTGATCACACGACCAACTAAGTTCATTTTTCAGAGAATATTTTAGCATTGTTTATTTCTTAATTGATCATACTTTCTGTTTTATAGTTTCATCTAAGAAAAATATTTGCAAATGTAAATAATTGATTATGAGAAATATTTGCCCATCAAATCGAACTTTTTCAGAGAAACAATATAATTATGTTCTATTTATGTTCAGGGGGATATCTGCAGACTTCAAAGTACTGAATATTTTCATAAGGAATGACGTCATATGTTTGAAATGACGTCAGGAAAATTACGTTAATTTAAAATTTTCATGGTTACTATACAAATAGGTATATATTATCCCAATATTTTAAGTTAAAGTCACCGAGCGCAGGTCTGCTCAAGCTTAGTATTTAGAAATAATGTGTAGAAAAATAATAACAATGAAATATATAAATATTGTTCTTGATCAGGCCTGCGTTTTATAAAATTTATAGCAAAAATTGAGCAAATTTTGTCCAGTGTTTCCTCTTTCTGAAAAATTATATAAAATTCGTCTAGTTCGTTCCGTCGTAAAAAAAAATTGTCAATAACCTACTTTGGAACTAAAAATATTTTGTCAATTGATATTACTCAAACAATTGATATAATTCAGCACATCACAAGAAATTTTCAGATTATCACTTTTTTGGGGGGTTGGGGGTTGGGGGGGTATGCAATATACCGCTTGTAGTTCATTATATTTATATCCAACATCCCAGTGTAGAGTTGCTTTAGGTCTGGTTAAGTCGTTGCCCATACGGGCTGGTGAAAGAACCGGATATTGGGTCAAAATAGTTTTATTTGTTGTTTCTTTAATATTCTTACGAGAATATTTACTCATCTTGGGACGCCACCACTTCCCATAAGAAACCGCAAATCAAATCTATACTCGGCCTTCAAAGCAATTAAATTTTCCTTCCAACATCAATTGCGACACAGGACCTTGGTTTATACGGTCTCATACGAAGGACCGGTCATTAGCTACGGGGTCAAAATCTAGGTAGGAAAAACATATTTTTCTTACGCTTTTTTATTTACATTATATCGATTGTCTTTTATTTTATTAATTTGAATATATGACGACTTGAATTCTTTTATTTATTTGTTACTGCCATATTTTTTTCCTTACTTGTACCAGTAGAAGTTCGGTTTTTATACCCTCACTCTGAAGGAGAGAGGGGTCAGTGGAGCCCATTTATTCAGACATTTTGGTTCCTAGTCAATTTGTCCGGATATGTCAAGCGTCCGGATATGTGGATTACCAGATAATCAAGACAAAATAACATTAAAAAATTCCGTTCCGATGCAAAATCGTCCGGATATTAAGGCGTCCGGATTTCTGAAGATCCACAGTATACTGTAATACCCTAG